TAACCCATTTATTTCGGGTGCTTGCAGGTTGGTTAACTCGGCGCGCTCTCGGCTCTCTCTTCTGCGGGACCACCCCCCCCCCCTCTCCCCTTTTCAAGCTCTCGATCAGCAACCGGCTGCAGCAGTTTCTGAGAACTCACCCCGCCCGGCTTGGCGCCGCGTGGCGCAGCGCTGCCGGGACCAGCCCCACCACTCCATACTCGCCGTGTACCTCCCCGCCGCACCCCTCACAGCCTCACCCCCGGCGCAGACACAGGTCCCCAACTTCCTCGTGCCCTTCCTGTGAAATTGTGCAGTGCGCCAACTTGTGTGTTGGAAGTGCCATGATGCTGCTGCTCATGACTGTGATATCTCCCAACCGCACGAGGCGGATGTTGTACACAAGCGCGCCGCCAATGGGCTCGGCCGCAGCGCGGCTCAATAGCCACCGACACGCTCTACAGGTCAAAGGTTTGCCCGAGGGGGCAATAACTCCCTTGTGAAATGTACACATGATTCCCGAAATACTTGATTCCCAGTGATTCCCGTCGGTGTATATTAATATAAATCTATTCCTTGGATTTTCTAGTGGTGAAAAACGCTTATTTCGACTGATTTATACGAGTACCACTAGTTTCCCGCTTAGTTCAAGCGATTTCTGATGATTTCGATTAAGTTTTATCCTGATGATTCCCAGGCAGACACATGATTCCCGGAGTTACCCCATCGGGTTTGCCTACCTGCTCAATGTGCATCCCAGGCCCGACACTTTGCACTTTTGATCGGAACCCTCAGTTTTGTTTTGTTTTTGTTTATCCCGCGGTGTCGCCATGTTACTCCCTTTCACTGTGTAGACAGGTGAGGAGCGCGCTCTCGCAGCTCCGCGGAGACGCTCGGCTGCGTTTAATTGTAACAGGATTGCGCGCGAGAGCCGAGTCACCGGTGTTATTCACAAACTACCCCGAGCAGCTCGAGCCAACTGGAGTGCGAGGGTCCCACGGAGCCTCCGCAGTTGGCAGCGGCGGCGGCGACCTCTTCGCGGAGCCGAGCAGGCACTTGTCCTTCTTAAGCCCGCGCCCTGCCTCCCGGTGACAATCATATGCAGCGAGTGATGATGCCGTGGTGCCCGGGGGCCCCGGCCCTCGCCCGCCCCTCTGCCCGCAGGCAGCGGCCCCGGCCGTCGTCGCCCTCCCCCTGGAGGCCATGGCGCCCCTGGGCCCGGACGGGCGGGCGCGTCCTCGTCGAATCACCAGCCCCATTGTCGGCCCTCCTCCCACTCCCTGGAGGGGTCCGGCGGCCCCGGCGGCCCTGGCCATGGACCGGCATCTCAAGGCAACCACTTCAAACAGTAATTACCAGCGGCGAGCCCGACCGGGCCGGGCGGGTAGTGCTCCGTCAGCCGGGGGGTCCCTGGGGGTCATAGCAAAGGGTCTTGAGCCTGTTGAGGCGGGCATTGGCCGGGGACTGTGGCGCGGCGCGCGGGAGTGCTACTATACCGGGTGTAACTGTGAATACGCAGCGGTGCTGCGGGTTTGCCTACCTTTTTACATCCGTAAGGGGCCATGGCCCTGTGGCCATAGCCCCTGTGGCCATATTGAGTATGCAATCCCATCCCGCAACACTGCTGCGTATTCAGTTACACCCGGTACACACACGCACTCGTCGTCGACCGTGTTCGAGCATACCCCCC